GGGGAGGGGTAGATGTGGGATGGAGGGGATCAATGGGGAAAAAAGGGGGGACATCTGTAATACTTTCAACAATAAAGAAAAATTAAATAAAAACAATGAGCTTTTCCCAATTTATTGTTTTAAGAGCAAGAAATAGCTATTGTGATTTGAATATTTGGGGCTGGGGGAGCTGGGATGGCAGAGCCTCGTTTACGCCGATGCAGGTGTGATCCTTTTCCGCTCTCCGTGAGGCAATTCAGCAAAGACCTTTTTTAAAAGACAGTGGCACTCCTCATGCAGACTTGTTTCAGGTGGTTTGGAGTTCAGCAAGCCCTCCTAATTCTGCAAGCTCTTAGCAGGCAAAGCATCTTTTTGAGAAAAACATGGCCCCTTCCAGGTCCATGAAAAAAACATTTACAGTGAAATGGAAAATGAACAGAGAGCAGGGGTGCAGTCAGATGTGTTCTTTTGTTCTGGGAGTTGTTGGTTTGTGTTTTATATTTTACTTCCAGTGTGTTTCATAGCTACGAACAGTTATTACAGTTGTAGCAATGTAAAAGCAAAGTTGCCGGCATCATTTTGCTGTTGTGCCTGTTCATATTTATACATTCTTGTGAAATATAAGTACACTGAGAACAGCAAATGGTGAAGAACCTTGAGAAGGGAAAGAAAGGAATGATATTCTGCACCTGGGCTCAGTCGCCATCACTGTAGCCCGGCCGTCCTGGGTTTCAGACCTTGATTACTGGACCCCTGATGTCTATCTAATAACTGTTTCTCTGTCCAATAACTTGTCTGGCTTTTTTGTTTCAGAAATAGTCACGTTTTGAAAAATACACAAAAGCAAAGGGAAGAATATTTAATCGCTAACCATAAGTAAGGACTGTATTTTGGTGTATAACCTTCCAGTGCTTTCTATACATAGTTGTAATTTTTATCAAAAGTGAAATCCTTCCCTCCATTGTTTTTGATCAGCTTGTTGTTCCCTCAGGTCATTAAATAATTACATTTAAAATATATATGTCTTTATTGATTTCAGAGAGAGAAAGGGAGAGGGAGAGAGAGAGAAACATCAATGATAAGAGAGTCATCATTGATCAGCTGCCTCCTGCACGCCCCATCCTGGGGATCGAGCCCACAACCCTGGCATGTGCCGGGACCGGGAATCAAACCGGGATCTCCTGGATCCTAGGTCGATGCTCAACTGCTGAGCCATGCCGACCAGGCTAATTACATTTTTTAAGAAAAGAAAATACATGTGTTTGGAAATAAATAGGAAAGTAAGGGTGAATAATTGAGTCAATGAAGTTTACTGTTATTTCAATAACAAAGGACACAAAGGGGTGGATAATAGTAATTTAGATTTGATGAATCTGAAAGTGAGGGGGATCAACAGCAACAGGGAGAGGCGTGTACATGATTATAACAATTGAGACATTTTAAATATCTCAGAGAAAAATAAACAAACACAAGAAGCCTGAGGTCAAGGTCCTGGCAGATCTGATCTCTGGTGTCTGGTGGGGCCACTTCCTGGGGTGCAGGCAGCCCCCCCCCATATCACTCCCCCATCTTCACAGCCCTTCCTCAGAGCTCTGCTGTCCCTTCCTGTCCAAGGGCCCTAATCCCATCAGGGCCTCCACCCTGGTGGCTTCACAGGAAGCTGATCACCTCTGGAAGGCCTCACCTCCAAATACCATCCCATTGGGGGGCAGAGTGTAAACATATGGTTTAGGGGGGACACAGGTTCAGCCCTTCACAGTGGCAGAAATAAATTTCAGTATAACAAATTATAATAAATGGAAGCCTACCGAACTTACCAGAGAAAATCTTAAATTGGAAAAAAATTAGTCCCTGAAATATTTGGTCTACAGAAGGCAGTTAACACAAAAGATTTAAAAAATGAAAACAGGTTGGAAAAGCTCATTAACCTGAGAAAGTGTGAATTAGAAGAAAGCCAGGATATGGTGTAAAATATAATCAAAGGCAAAAAAAATCTTCAGTGACAAAGAGAAACACTTCACAAACTAAAGGAAACAGAACTAGGTGATAAAATAATTATAAAAACACATCCACTCAGAAAACAGGAGCACTGAGAGGACATGTCGGTCACCAGTGGTTACTGTTGGCGAGCCAGACCTGCTACGTAGTGGGCTAAAGTGAAAGACTCATTTCTCTTTAACTCTGAGAGAGCAAATAGATCACAAATCAGAAAAGCTATAAAAATGCTTGTTTTACATGATCTATAAGTTTGACTACATTGAGGGGTAGTGAAGAGAATGAGCTTTAAAAAGAACAGAAAAATATCAATTATTTTCCAACAAATGAAGTAAATAGAACAGGATGTTCACACACTAGGCAGCAAGGAAGCCTCAGGTATCAAGTCAAACCATGTTATCTCACCCTAATGCCACGCAGTGTGGCATTTCATTTCCACCCTAAAACGAAAACTAAAACATACATTTAAAAACAATTACAGTTGCTAAGCAGCCCTTGGATTAAAGGGGGTATTTTATGGGCAGTAAAAGGGCTTTAGACCTAATAGCAATAAACAATATATATTTGTTAGAAAACAACAAATATGGAAAACAGGTCAGAGGACCTCAAAAGGCAAAAATAAATATCTATGAAATAGAGAAAAACAATCTAAAAACAATACCAAAAAAGGAAAGATTAACAAAACCAAGAGCTGGCTTTGAAAATACTGTTAAGATGGACGGAAGTGAAATAAAAGGTGAGATGCAAACAAGACATAGCTGAGGTCACAGCAGTTTCAGAACCGCAGGACAGCGTGAACTACGTGCCAATAACCGAGAAAGCAGACAAAACGGATACGTTCCTGGAAAACAAGAAGGGCAACACTGGAAAATCATTGACCGGACTCTTGGGAATTGAAGAGATTTAAATAGTTAGGAGACATCCCCGCCCCCCAGAGCCTCAGGCTCCATTGTACACGAGTGCTAATGAGTTTCAGGGGACAGACCCTCCTGACCTACAACGTGGCCGCAGAGAGGGGCGTGAGGACGAAGGCCGTGTGCCTCGCGTGCTGTGGGCAGTGCCTCGAGATTCTGGAATCATGGTTTCATTCACTTTATTTTTTTTATTTTTATTTTTATTTTTTAAAAACATATCTTTATTGATTTCCGAGAGAGGAAGGGAGAGGGAGAGAGAGAAACATCAATGATGAGAGGGTCACTGATCGAGCCCGCAACCCGGGCCTGTGCCCTGACCGGGAACCGAACCCCGACCGCCTGCGCCCGGCCGGGCTGCTTTACTTTATGAACTTGATGCACATTGTCCATGAAACATGAGCTGCCCGCCGCCACCAGGGTGCGAGGGCCACAGGCCAGCGAAGTGTGTCCCACCGCGTGTCGCACCGCGTGTCCCACCGCGTGTCGCACAGCGTGTCGCACTGAGTGTCCCACCGCGTGTCGCACCGCGTGTCACACAGCGTGAGGCGGCCGCGCGGCGCCAGCCGCTTTATTAGCGCAGCTGCCCCCTGATGGCCGGGCCCAGGCCAGCGCCGCGCGGGAAACGCCGTCGGAGTCCAATCCCGCTCCTCAGGCCCGAGTGCCCGGGCCCTGGCTGCCCGTCTCCCACCCAGCCTCAGGGGCGCCCAGCGCGGCACCAGCACCAGGCTGGGGGCTCAGGCGGCGGCCGCGGGTCTGAACTGTGCCTCGTTCTACAGGTTTTGAAGCGTGCAGGCTCAGAGCAGTCCCTGCCCCCCAGGACGAGCACGTAGGACAGGGACTCAGTCATCCCTTCTAGGAACCCCCACCAGGATGTCGTCCGTGCCAGGGACTGCCGGGGGTGCGGGAACGGGACACCCTCTTGTACCTCACAGACGGTCAAAGACCCGGGACCGCTCCCAGGGGCCGAGCTTGTTCCCCGCGTCCCCCACTGACCCAGCCAGAGGGCCGCTGCCCCTCTGAATGTGGCTGACCCCACGTCTTAGGTCTTCTCTACTTGGCGGGTACAGTCACGTGACCCAAGACTCCGGATGGCTCATGCTCTGGGGTTCCAGCCTCAGCGTCTGGGGATCTGGAGTTTCTCCCCTTAACACTGGGAGACAGGCTGGTGGGGTAGGAGTCACCCTGGCTGCCGATGAGAAAGAGCCTGGCACCGAACCGGCACGTCCCCCTCATCAGGGCTCAACTGACAGTTTGAACCGGCACAGAAATCCAACGGGCCTTAGGACTAGCTCAGCAAACCCTGCAGGAACGTTTCCACACATCGAGGCGGACACTGGGAACAGCCAGCTTTGGTGGCTCTTAAAACCTGGTTGGGACCCAGGAACCACACGGGTTCCTAAAAAATCCCACACACGTCACTGCACCAAGCCCCCTCCATGCTGTCGGATGGTGGCATGCCAATGAAATGAGGCAAAATGGGGGAGCAAGTGTGTCCAGGGCCCTGCTGGGCAGGAAGGTCCAGACTAAGAAGGAGAAGCAGGAAGGTGGTCACCCTGGCTGGAGGGGTGGGGCCCCATGACCAGGACAGTGCAGGCAGCTGCCCAGGACAAGTTGGCCGGGGAGGGGGAGGAGGGGCGGGTCCCTGAGCCCTTGCTGATGGGCGAGGTCCGTCCCTCCAGGACCGCAAGCCCACTCAGCAGGACCAGGCTCAGCGGAGAAGCTGCGCCAGTGAGCGTCACCCATCCCAGACCTGGAGGGGGAGGAGCTGCAGCCAAAGGCACTGCCATAGGGCTGGGCCCAGCGCCCAGGGCCCTCATCTGTGGAAGCTGCTGCTGCCTGCCTGGGGGAGGGAGGGGGGAACCTGGGCGCCTCGGGCAAGTCAGGGAAGCCCGACCGGTGTCCCATGCGAGGAAGCAGATGGAGGGGGCAGGGCTTCGAGGCTGCTGTGCTGTGTGCTTCTCGAAGGCTGGTGGACGGGACACCTGCAGTCACCAGACCAGGACAGTCTGAATTGTCCCCAGGTTCCAACTTCCAGACGTGCATGTGCCGGAGAAGGAGGGTCGCCAGTGAGAACTCACCCATGTCTTCTCTAACAGCGTTGACTCCCTGTCCTCAAGGCACCACCTCCACGTAGTCACTGCTAGAGTTCTCTGGGGATAAGCAGAGACGAGCCATGAAGCCAGCACCCAGGAGTCACACTGACCAACCCCTCTCGAGAAAGGAGGCCTCTCCCAGGGCACCAGATCAGCCTGAAGCCACATCAAAGTGACTCCTTGAGGGGTCACGCGGAGCTCTCCTGCCAAATTGGGGGTCTCCTATGAGTCGGGCAGCAGCAGAGACCCTGGGCATCCCCACAGTAAGGAGAGCCCTTGTTCTCAGGAGCTCAGGGAGAGCCTCTTTCTGACCATTGTGGGAGGTTTTACCATAAGTATCTTCCAAGTCCACCTTCGACCGCCTCCAGCGCAGGCAGGGGCTGGTTCTCCTTATCGGGTATAGAAGGGGGAACACCAGTCCTTGGTTTGGTTTCTCGAATTTGGAGACCAATTCCTTTAGGTTGGGAAAGACTTGTTTGGGACAGCCCTTCGCAGTCTGCAAAACACAAGGAGATGGCTTGTCATCGCGCAAGTGTGTATGACGTGGAACACTTCTCGTGGCAGCGGTTTTCAGGTATTGGTAATTAACGATTCAAGTATGTCAATTTTTTTAGCCAGAGAAGTAAATTCAAAAGAAACAAAAAAAGTTTATCTGCTGAGCTCTGGGTGAGCAAGAGAAATGAAAGAAATGCCGCAGACGGCCAGCTGATGGCTCAAGCTCACCTGCGGAGCCCACCCGACTTCCTAACCCTCACGCCTCCCACCACCCTTCCCACCCAGGCCTGGTCACGGCTGAGTCTTCTCAGCAGCAGCGGTTGACCTGGAGTCCAGTGGTGCATCTGACCACGAAGGGACCACTGCTGTGTGTCTAAATTTTGAGTAACAGCCCTGATTATTCCAAAATGGGCCCACACTGTGGTCCCTTCCCATTTCTGTCCCTTTGTAAAATGCTGTCACCTGAAAATCTCAGGTGAGATGCTCCCAGATGCCTCTCCCCCAGCTTAGCTGAGTCAGAGGCGTCCTACCTCTATGTGGTATTGCCCGTATTGCTCCTTGAAGATGCGGTATGTGTAGACGATGTTTTTAAACCTGTGGGAAGAGGGCTGTGTGAGTCAGAAGGTCCGTACATGCAAACCCGGGAAACACCTACCATCACATCTTGTGTGCAGTCGTGGATCCCAAAAGTGACTGACGTTTCCAGACCTCCTCGTGTATGGGAACTGGAGAGACCGAGGTTTTGAAATGGGGACCCTCGTTTGGACATGGAAGCCTGGGCTGCGGCCAAGGGGCTAAGGAGAGAGTTCACAGCTTCAGTGGTGTTGGTGGGTCTCTCGTCTTCACTCAGCTCTAGGTAGATGTAACTTACAGAGCACCTTCCGGCCTTCCTGTGGTGTCCAGTAAACGATGCTGGTGACCCCATGAGAGACGGTGGTGTAACCAAAATAGACGGTGTTGGCATTTGTATTGTGTTCTGTTCCTCTTTGGAACAGGAGCCACTGGCTAAGCAATTCAACCAGAATTCAGGTAACAGACCTAACGGAGCAGCCTTTGTAACAAGAACCAGCATTCCACGGTTTCTCCAGCTTCTGGGTGTTGTCCATGGTAAGATACCGCACCCACTTAACAATGGCTCTCCAGGGGAAAAAGGGACTTGCGGGTGTCCATCAGCATCAAGCAGGTTCAGGCTCCACAGGAATGTGAAGCCGTGAAAGGGAGATTCAAGGGCGCGGGCCTGGGGTTCGAATGATCTGGCAGAGCCCCGTTCCTGCCTCTGCGCCCGCGAATCACAGGGCCAGGGTTCTGACAGAACTGGGAAGTCAGGCACCCCGTACAGCCGTAAGGTCAGGAGCCTGGTCGCTGACCGCCTGGGGACTTCAATCGGCTTCAGTCTCCAGTCCTGTTTGGGGTTTCCTGAGGCGAGAATAAGGCCTTGGGTGTCCCCCCATCACAGAGCAGACGAAAGGTTTAACGAGTCTCCACATGTGGCAACTTAAAGTCCCCCAGAGCTTGAGGTCTCAGTAACGTCTCCTCACACAAGTACTGTTCAGGCCCGCATGTGGCATTTGGCTGACTGCGTGGTTTTTTATAATCCAACCATCATATAGACTATGTTAAATTCTTCAATTAGTCACTTCATTTTTACCCCAGACACAAAAATAAAATCAGGATGTGACACCCAAAACTATAAAACTCAAGGAGAAAGTGAGGAGAAAACCTGTGTGAATTGAGTTGGGCAAAGATTTATCAGGTATAACACTAAAATTACCATCCTCAAAAGTGAAAATTGAACAGTTGGACTTTGTCAAAATTGAGAACCTCTGTTCTTTGAAATATGCTGTGTAAAGGATGAAAGGACAAGTCACAAAATGGGAGAAAGTATTTACAAATCACCTATCTCACAAAGAACGTAAGTCCAAATATGTAAAGAATCACCAAACTCAGTAGGAAAATAAACACAAAAATAATTAAAAATGGGCAAAATATTTGAATGGACACTTCATCACAGGAGATATGTGGGTGGCAAATAAGCATGTGAACAAATACTCAGACGTAAATTAAAACCACAGTGAAACACTGCCGCACACCCATTAAGGGCCTAAAGGAAGAAGCACTCATCGCGCCCGGGGGTGGCAGTTGCTGTGGGGAACAGCTTGGTAGTTTCTTAAAAATATTAAACCTGCACTGAACGCGTGACTCGGTTGCCCACACTTCTTTTTAAAATGATTTATTGATTGATTGATTTTTAGAGAGAAAGAAGAGGTTGGTGGAGAGAGAGAAACATCAATTTGTTGTTTCCTTTATCGATACAGTCATTGTTCGGCTCTTGTGTGTGCCCTGAGCGGGGCTAGAACCCGAAACCTTGGCGAATCGGGGTGGTGCTCTAAAAACTGAGCACCGGCCAGGGCTTGCCCACACTTCTTATTCTCGTGGGAGAAATGGAAGCATGTCCACAGACACAGACAGACGTTTGTGGCAGCTTCCATGGTGAAGGCTGAGGGAGAAAATAAACTGTGGGTCTGTGAAGTACCCACCTCTGTAACCACCAGGCAAACACCTGAAACGGGTGCAGAGGCACTGAATGAAAACTGGAATTGAAAATAAAAAAACATGTATATTAAGAAAGTGTGACTTGTTCCCAGAGTGGAATATTGCTCAGCAAAGAGGGCCTCTGATGCATTGACACATGGTGAGTGCAGAAAAGCGTGCCAGGAAGCAGACGATGGGGGCCTGGGCTGGGTGGGGAGGGGAGGTCACAAAGAGGCCCAGGGAGGTTCTGCGCCTCCAGCGTCTTGGCCATGGTGATGTTTTCATGGTGTATACCAATACCAACATTCATCGAATTGTGCGATTTTTATTTCATGTCACTGATACCTCAGTAGAGCTGTAAAGATCACTCATGAGTGGAATTTGTGCTGTAACATGAAACCGAATTTAAGCTCATTTGGCTCTTGTGGTTTTGATGGCTGGTCTTTGGCATTAGATAGAAAGAATGTTCCCTGTATTTGCTGTTAGGTCCTTAGTCCACATGCTGAGGCTGGACCCCAGTGTGAGAGTGACCACAGTGGGGACAGCTCCGATGTGCAGGAAGGCCCAAGATCCTGGTAGTCACTCAGTCACATCTAAGGTTCGTGACACTTGGTGTGTTGAAATATCTGCATTTTCAGTCATCTGTGCAAATCTTCAACCCATTTAAAATGTGAAAAATGCACAGTCTCGAAGGGCTGTTTGTAAACCTCTGCATGATGTTTCCCGCTGCGATGGGAAAGGCTGGAGTGGAGGGCTTCTCAGTCTCTCCTTCCAATGGGCGTGGAGGTGGTTACAGGAGGTGCTGTGCCAGGCCTCTGAGCTCCGTTGCTGACAGCCCACACGTTGCTGTGGGTCTCATGCTGTGGCCAGCGCTGTGGGGAAACTTGTTCATGGTCAGGTTTATTTTTATTTAACCAAGCCTGAAAGATCAGTTGGAGGAAATGGAGCTGTCTGCTCAGTGACATGAGCAATGTGTCTGTTTCTGAGACGGTTGACTTCTGGCCTTGTCACTGATTTTGACAGCAGTGGTACAAGCTTTTGTTGTGCAAATTTGTCAGTGTGTGAGTATTAAATAGTCTGGGATTTTATCCTAAGGACAGAGTTGGGCGAACTTTCAAAGATGTAAATGCAAAATACTAATAGTCTCCAATCACACTGGGTACACTGGACCAGACTGGAAATAACCTAAATGTATGATCATGTATAAGTTAGGATGTCTCCAGTCAATGAAATGCTGAGCAGTCACGGCGGGACTGCGTGCTGGCCGTCTCTGCTGTGGAGAGGTTCCTGTGAGGCACTGAACGCAGCAGGTTGCAGGCCATCCTGTGTAACAGCCACTGGTGCACAGAAATCCGCTCACGGTGTCCGTGAGGTCTCACTACCAGAAACCCTGACTTCTAAGAATTTCTGCTTTCTTTTTTATACCTTTCTCTACATTGGGTTTTTCAAAAACAACAAAAAGATTGTTTTCTTTTTTCTGCCTGAACTTGAGTCTTCCCAAATATCGCAGAATCTGAGAGTGGGAAGTGCCTCGCGGGGCCTGTCCTCCTCGGTGAGACCGCGCAGGAGGGTGGACTAGGCCCTCTCCCCTGCAGCCTCCCTGTGGCTGCAGGAAGCCCCTTCCCGTCGCACACACGCAGAGCCCTTGCATCCCAGATACCGCCTCCACTGACTACAGGCAGACCAGCTCCCACGTCGGGCACTCAGGCAGTTACACATCAGTGTTGTGCACAGGGCATCTCCTGGAAGCTCTACCAGGCTGGCGATCAGGCAGCACCTCCTGTGCGTGGCCGCCACGGGCCAGCTCTCTGTGACTTCCTTCCTTCACTGCTGTCCTTCCCATGCTATTCTTACTTGGGTGGGTACCAGCATGGAAGCTGGCACATTGCTGTTCTGACACAGCAAAGAGGATGGGAACACAGACTGAAGGGTCCGCAATCAGGGCCCACTGCCACACCCCGGTCCCTGCTTGGGCACTTTGTGGCACGGCTGCAAGGTGACCACGTGACCGTGTTTCAGTGGAACGGGGGACGTGGGCAAGAGAGGAAACAATAGCATGCTGAGAGTTTGGGCTTCGACAGGTGATTTAATAAGAGGCTCGTTTCTTTCCCCACAGAACAGAGGTGTCACCTACTGTAAGTGGTTTTGCGAGGAGCACACGGGGTGACGATGGAAGATGTTAGCACACAGTTTGGCTCATAGAAAGCAGCCCCGCGGTGGCGCCTACTGCACACATGTGGGAGGCCTGCTGTGGTGTGGACCGTATGACTTTGCTCGCATAGGGCTTGGGTGGCTTTGTGTGACCTCCTCAGAGGAACCTTTTCTGCACCCAACTGAAAGTTGCCTCTCTGTCCCTCCCCGTGATGGCCCCCTGTTGTTTTGGTCATGCTGTCTCCTCTCCCTGTGATTTCAGGAGAGCAGGTCTAACTCTGTGGCACCCGTCACTCTCTCACCTAGGACCACGCCTGGAACTAGAGGGCCCTCGGCATAGGCTTGTCCAATAAACAGATGACAGTTCCGGTCATCCCCATAGCCCAGGCTCCTCCCTGCTCCCCTCCTCTGGGAATGCCTCGCCCCTCGCTCTCCTTCCGGCCGTGCCCGGGGGTCCCGTCCTCGCAGTCACCACATGCATCACGGTTCTATTCACTTTACTTTCCCAACCAAGTGCTGCGTTTTGCTGAAGGCACCAGTCACGTGTCGAGTGTGGAGCCTGACACACGGGAGAATTTAACTAACTAGAGTTGAAGGATCTGTGCTGATTGGCGAGACAATAAAATTCCACCTGTGTCACTGTGACCAGGATGTCTGATGGGGACACCTGACAGGAACTGGAGGCTGCGGCAGCTTCGTCTGCCTGTCAGGGACATGCCAAGAGGGCGCGAGGCGATTGTGGCGACGTCCATTTGACTTACCGTTCTTCCATTTCCAGTGGCTTTTGCTCTAGCAGATGTGCGAGCTCGGTCGGTACACACAGAGGAGTTTGGAATGTCGTCTGCTTCTTAGGAGAATCCGCGCCCTGACTGTGGGCCGGGATCTGTCCTGCCTTCAGCACCTCCCGCAGCGTTTCTTCGCCCGTCCCCTCCTTTCTGTTTGGTCTGCACGGAGAGCTCCTCACGCTACCACCCGACTCAGTCTCTCCCACAGTCACCCGTGGGAAGTTCTCCAAGTCAGATTTGAGTCCCAGAACCTCAGCACCGGTTCGCCCCATCTCTGCTCAAAACCGTCCATGTTTCCCTAATGATGGAATCATTCCCGAGACCCCATCATTTTACTCCAGCCCTACTCTCCCAGGAGTCGGTTTCTAAGCTGCCTTCCAGAGCCCTGCACGAGTCATCTGCACTTTCAAATATTTTGCTTGGCGACCTGTCCCTGCCTGGCTGCCCTGGAATGCTTCCTGCCATGTCCAGGGACCGACCCTCATCTGGCCTGGGCCCCAGTGGAAACCCTGCCTCCGCTCAGAGGCTTTCCCGCTCACCTCTGTCCTTGAACCTGAGGGAAACAGTCTTTTCTGGAATTTATACTTGGCTTGTTCTGTTTGTTTACATGTTGGGTCTTGTCCTGGGCTCTCCTCGGAACCTCCCCAGGCCTGGCACAGTATCTGAACAGGCAGGATTCACTGCAGTTTTATAAACATTTCTTAAGTTACAAAAGTCCTGCCTCCACAGAGGGCATTTAAATGGTGCCAAGAAGTTATCCAACGGAAGGAGCACACCCACCGCCTTTCCCTCCCAGGTTTCCTGGTTGAGCACTACGGTAAGTTCTGCACCTTCTAGAAACTTTGTACAAATACACACGGATAGAGCTGTACATTTTTTTTTAATACAGAAATGGGATCACACGACAACAGAGGTTATCTCAGAGCTCCGGTGGGCTTGCCCAGTTTTGCTCATGTCCGTGTGCACACACATAAGCGATTCTGCTCTCATCTCCCGTGACAGAGGCCTGAGCCCGACCGACTTGGGAGGGCCTGTGGGAGGTGACCCCACAGGAAGCCTGTGTTCCTGACGGAGCTCTGGGGTTGTGACCCCTGGGCCTCTGCTCCCCTCTGGAAAGGGCGGTCCCTCTTCCCGGGGCAGACACCTCACCTCTGCACGTATGGACGGCAAACCTCCATAATCCCTTCTGGTGGTGGGATACGGGTTAGATTTGCTTTACTGGGACAGTGACTACAAGGTAGGTTTTCATTAGTGAAATTGGGGTGGCTATCCATGCATTTGTTCCCTCTGGGTGCTAGCAGTTTTCATTCTTGCCCACAACGGGAGGAAGGATGTCTCATTCTTTTATTTGTATTTCATTAGTTGCCAGTGAGGTCCAGCATGTCTGTGTCAGCTCCACATTTCGGCTTCAGATCACTCCTCTCCGTAGACTTCTCTTCATTTTCTACTGACTTTTAAAACTCTTATATGTTAACGAAGTTTTTCTTTTTCCTGTTGGTTTGTCAACTGTCTTCTAAGTTTTTTTGACATCAGTATTTTTTATAATGGTCATATTTATCCATCTTTCCTTTTTTTGGTTTTGCGGTTTTGTATCTTGTTTCAGAAGACAGATGTCCTTACTGAATGTTCTTTAAGTTTTTTCCCAGTTAAATCTCAGATCTCACAGGTATAAAATCATTTCAGCTGCAAACAATAATGTTGTGTCTTCCTTTTCAATATTTGTGTTTCCTTTGACTAATCTCACGTGCTGACACTCTTGGAAAACGGACATAGTAGTGTGGTAATGAGCGTCTTTGTCGCTCGCAGTTTTAGCGAGAATTCTAGAGCTCCACCTGGCGGAAGGTAATCTGTCTAGCTGGTGTGGGCAGGAGCGTGTAAGTGTGCGCGCACGCGCGTGTGTAATTAAGGGGTGGATGTTGAATTTTACCTAATGCCTTTTAAGTAAATTTGAGTGAGTTATGCAGTTTATTACCTTGGGCCTGTTAATATGTAGTTACACTAATAATTTTCCTGACATGAAACCATCCTTGATGTCTTAGTTTGGACTGTACTTGAGCATAGTGTATTTTTAAAACATATGTTTTTATTGATTTCAGAGAGAGGAAGGGAGAGGGAGAGAGAAACATCAATGATTCCCGTACTGGGGATCGAGCCCGCAGCCCAGCCATGTGCCCTGACTGGGCATCGAACCATGACCTCCTGGTTCATAGGCTGACGCTCAACCGCTGAGCCACACGGGCCGAGTTTGAGCACAGTGTATTTTATACACTACCAGCTTCTATTTGGTTAGTAGTTTACAGAAAACTGATACTAAATGAGGTTGGAATCGATCTATAATCATCTTTGTGCCTGTGCAGCTTTGTGTTTTTAATGTTGTGTCTTCATCACAGAGCAACTGGAAAAAAATCAATGAAAAGACAAACAACTAATGCGAAAAACAGGTGAAGGACATGACCATGCAGCTCTGAAAGAGGAATTATTCATGCCTAAAGGTGCATGAACACACCCTCAACATCATGGGGAGCTTGAAAACTTGAGCTGCTAACACGTGGAGGCGAACTTTCCCATCCCGTCCTCAGCACCACTTAAAGCAAGGGATCGGCCGGCCTGTTCTCTTAGCGATGACGGCCACTTCTGTTCCCACAGCTCCCTGATTCTAAGACGCGCTGGAGCAATTCCAGGGACAAGTGGGGTTTTAACCCTATAACAAGTAGGAGAAAACTCAGTGGCCTCTCCAAAGAGGAGAATCCCTAAAGACACCACCAGCTCCTGCTGATTTCTCTACCAGTTGCTTTCTCAGCAGCCTGAGTAAGGCCCTTCCAGGGACTCTGATGGCTCCGGCCTGGAGTTTCACAAGAAGCCCAGAGCCTTGGCCACATGTATAATGTGGCCACATGTATAGTTTGGGAAGCCCAGGCCCTGCTTCATGTATAATGCCCGTCTCGAGCCTCCACAGCAGGCTGAGCGGGGAAGCTGTCTGCTGAAGCCCTTTACAGACCTACCAAGATCTGATCGAAGTTATCATAAGCGGAGCCAACAGGATACACGTAAAAACTTGGTCTCTTAGATTCAGATAGAACTTTCACAAGGACCTTGGCCTTTCCCACAGCAAGTGAAAAGCCTCTGCAGGACTGGACCTCCTTGTCTGCGGTCCCCTCGCCACCTTGCTGCCTGCAGCCCTGCCCGTGGGGCCTTCCCACCAGGACAGAGGCAGGCGGAAGCCGAGGACGCACATTCCTCCCACCTCCCTGCAGGATCCATTCTGCTCCCTCTGCTCACTTGCACCACACAGTCCGAGTGAAATACAAGTTCTTTTCTACTTGGCTGTCGCCTGGCATTCACTACATGGTTTCAAACATGGGGAAGGTGAGGCTACTCACGAGACACAGAGGCACAGGACACCTGGCACAGACTCGCTGTCGCGTAGTAGGAAGTTGCCGTCCACCCTCTCTGCGAGCAGCAGGCTCTCACAGTCTCTCTTGGACAGGGGGCCGTGGTAATAAGGCAGGTCCATGGCCGCACTCTCCTGTTCCTGGGATCAGCCCCAAGTTCAGGGCAGCGTTGACAGGTGGGAAAGGTACCTTCAGCCTCTGGCTGGGCTGAAGACAGTTCTGTGGACTTAATAAGTTTCACAAGAGTCAGGAAATGAGAAGGGTGGGGGTGATAGGTGACCAACGCCACAGCCAGTAGTCAGTCACCCGGATGTGGGTGAGAGCCTGTTTGGGAACCATGATGTTTATCTGGGGCTGTGATGCTTAAATCCAGCTCCCCAGAGTTGGGGTGCACCCAGGCATATCACCCCAAGCCACCAGGTTTCCCTGCTCTGCCTCCTGGTGTCCCTTGCAGGGAGAACAGCACTACTTTTTGCTGCAGTGAGTGCCCATTCTCTGCTGAAACTCTTGACTGTACATGCTCAGCTCAGAGCAGGTGCTCAGAAAGTGTTGAGGTGCTGGGTGAATCTAGATATGTCCAGAAAGAATGGGCCGGTCGAAAGGGTAGGACTTCCACAGGTCAAATGGCATGAAAAATGGAAAACACCAAAGAGAAGCAAAAGCTACTGGACTCCGTGGTGGGGCAGCCCATTCCCTGGACAAGGCTCCTGGACTTGGGGACAAAGCCACTTTTAACATCCGCAGCATCACACTTTAGTGGAGGCAGCAGGTGCACAGGGAGGGACACCTGGGGGTGAGAGTTAGTGCCGGGATGCTTTTCCATGTGCAAGGAAAGAGGAGGTTAGGTTTGGTGTGGAGACCTTCAGGTCCTTTGAAGTCCCCACCCTGAAGACAGCAGAGATGGGTCCCCATGAAGAAAGACCAAGCAGCATCTATCCGGCCGGAGACACCTAACCTATCAGACAACCTGGTGCTGGCAAGAGACCCCGTTTTTTCGGCGGAGCCTTTTCTGCCTTGATCAGCAGGCATTCTTGGGAAAGGTGGTTTCTGTCTGAGGCCAAGTTAGCTCTGGGGTAATGCCTAAGGGCCCCCCAGCTTTACTGAGGTACAGCTGACATGCAGCATTGTGTCAACTTAAGGTGTACAGGTGATGATTTGATGCCCTACATATTGCAGAATGACAACACCCTAGCTGAGCTAATGCCTCCATCTAGCCACACAATTACTTTTCTTGTGTGTGGTGAGAACATTTAAGATCTACCCTTGCTGAATAATATAGATTAACTATAATCACCATGCTGCACATCAGATTCCCAGAACGCATCCATCTTCATTTTTAAAAATTTATCTTTATTGTTGAAAGTATTACAGATGTCCCCCTTTTCCCTCCCATTAACCCCCTCCCTCTTGCTCCCCCAGGCCTTCACCTCATTATTGTCTGTGTCTGTGGGTTGTGCATATAAGCATATCTTCTAACTGGAAGTTTTTACCCTTTGACCAGCATCTCCCCATTTCCTCCAGGGCTTTCTGAGCAACCAAATCTTCCTCCATATTATTTATCAATCAATCATTTACTTCAACACATCAGCCATGTAAGCATGTCTATATTCCAGTGCCAGTTGGTATAACCTGTACGTGATTTCTCTCCCTGCTCAGCTGCTTCCCTCAACTATCTGTAGGAGTTGTTCCATATCTCAGGAGGAACTTACAAACACAGGACCGAGAGTTCTTAATACTTACTGCTTCCCTCAAGACCTTCTTGACCGAGACAATGACTTCAGCTGCTTGCTGGCCACCACCCGTCCCTGGGAGGTTGGCCTGACTGTGACCCTCCTTGCTGGCGCTTGGGTTCAGTGACACTAATTGAGAGCGATATGCTTTCAAATTCCACTGCTCGTGGGCAGTCGCTATTTGATTTCTTGGGAATCATGGCAGTTGAGGAGAGAATTTTTAATGGTGAAAGAGGAAACTGAGTACCAAGCTTGGTGTGAGGCTATTTTCTGAGTAAAGGAGATCACGGGGTCCCTCCTCATCTTTGTCATTCCAGAGGTTTTCCTACCTTTCTATCCTGTTTCAAACTCAGTCCCCTCATCCTCACTCATCACAAGACAATGCAAATTAAAATCCACACTGAGATGACATCTCTCCCCTACCACATTGGTGAAAATCGAGAGTTTGAAAACACCTTGGCTTGGCCACATGGGGTCACATGTAGGAACATCTCACACATCGCTGGTCGGAGGAGAGTCCGTCATTTCCAGCAAAGTGGCAGGTGCCTTTTCCTGCCCACAGAACCATCTCCAGTCCATCTTCTGAAACCTAATGAAATAAGTCATCCAGGGAAAAATAGTCAGTGGGTGAAAACTTTAGGCAAATGTGTGAGAATGACCTTTACAAGAGGGAGACCGGGCTGTCACCAGCTGAACCCACTGGCCAGACTCAGCGTGCCTCAGCCTGGGACCAGCAGACCCTGACCACCTGTGCCTTTGTGAACAGGAATTTCACAACAAGTTGAACTTGAATGGATGAAGCCCTTATAACTCACTTCTATTTGTGGGACCGTCAGGAGGAGGCAGACAATTCCACTGGGGGCACAACGGGGGCAATTAATATGGTCTCTTCACAGGTCAGTGCTGTAGAAGCGGTCGGACGGTGAGGGCAGGACTGTTCAGGCTGTGAAGATGCTTGTGAGGCACAAAATCAGGGCAGCATGAGGGTGTTGTCTGGATCCTGGTTTGAAAAATCTTTCAAAGAATGTCCTGCCATTGGCGAAATTTAAGTATCGACTCCTCCTCACTCACGGTGACGCGGAGAGGTTCTTGCCGTAGAGCTTGCGTGGTGATGTGTGCTTACGTGAGCGCACCCACAGCGGGCGATGGCCTGTGGGGTTCCTCGTGTTACTCCGTTTCTGGATGTGCTTAAGGTTTCTCGTGATAAAAAAATCCTTCCACTCTCGTGTTATTTTGACTGCGCGTCACCTTCGAGTTGCTCCACAGGACACAGAAACGTCATTTGCTGCCCACGTGGACCTCGCTCTCTTCCGTGGAAATCCAAGCTGGTGCCATGCTGCTTGTGCGGTTGACTGGACACTGCAGGCCCCTCACCCAAGAGGGCGCATCAGAGACCCCTGCCGAGGAATCTGAAGAAAGTGAATAGAGAAGAGAGACTCGGGGATGAGGAAGGGAGGGAGGAAGTAAGAATGGAACAGGTGTCTCTAGGAATGGCTGACAGCAGGTGCATTTTTGTGCTGTGAACTGGTGGCCGTATCCCACCCAGCAGCCAGGAGCAGAGAGAAACTGTCCACAAAATGAGGAGGCTGACTCACGGAGAGGAGCGGAGTCGCGAGACGGTCCTACAGAATGGAAAAAACTACTTGCAAACCATGTATCCGGTAAGGGGTAAATTTCCAAATATACATACACTCATACAACTCAATAGCAAGAAAAAACAATCCGATTAAAAACTGGACCAGGGGTCTGAGTAGACATTTTTCCGTAGAAGACATCTGTAGATGGCCGGCAGGTACATGAAAAGATGCTCAGCATCACTGCTCACCAGGGAAACGCCAATCGGAGCCCCAGGGAGGCAGCACCTCACCCCCGTCAGGAAGGCTCTTGTCAAGAAGGCAAGAGCTGAGCGCGGGGGGCTGTGGAGGAAGGGCCCTCGGCCCCGCCGGTGGGAGAGTAGGTTGGTGCAGGCTCTGTGGGGAACAGTATAGAGTTTTTCAAAAAAGTTAAAAGAACTAGCATGTGACCTAGAAATTTCACTTCTGGGTATTTATCAGAGGAAATCGAAAACACTTATTTGGAAAAGTATGTGCACTCCTATGTTCACTGCAGCTTTATTTACAGCAGCCAAGATACGGAAGCAGCCTAAGTGCCCATCACCAGACCAGGGGACAAGGGTGGGTGCATACGTATGGACAGTGGAATGTTATTTAGCTGTGAAAAAGAGCAAATCCTGCCATTTGTGACAACCTGGAACTTGAGGGCATTACGCTAAGTGAAATAAGTCAGATGGAGAAACAAATACCATATGCTCTCACTTATATGGAGATTTAAAAAGAAACAAAAACAACCGTACTCACAGCAGGGAGATCAGACCTATGGTTACCACAAGTGGGCTGGGGTGGGGGCATTGGAGGAAGGGAATCGAAAGCTGCAAACTTCGTTATAAAGTAACGGCCAGAGACGTTTGCACAGTAGTGGCCGTAGCTAACCCTGCTGTGTGGTAGGGAAGTTGGGAGTAGATCCTAAACGTTCTCAGGGCAAGAAAAGAATTTTTTCTTCTTCTGTTTGTATTTCTAGGAGAGGACAGGTGTTAAAAACTTGTGGCCATCATTTCACAATAGGAGGTTGGAAGGTCCTGTTTAGGCATCTGAGGTCCAGCCCTTGGGCTACTTGTTTTAATATGTCTCTTTGCCACAAGCTAATTGGCATGTTTTTTACCTTCTATGAAAGGTGTTAAGTAATCCAGCCTTACAGGCAAAGCCCTGTTGTCAAGTTCAAGGGTGCATGAGGCCAAATATGAGTTACATGGTTCCAGGAGTGAGCCCCACAGACACTGGACAGTGTGGGTGAAAGCCAGAGCACCCAGGGTCCCCACCATGCAGCTGGGGACACTGTTGTGTTCAAAGCAGCAGCCTCATTGGGGCAGACAGTGTAGGGTCTCATTTCAGGAGATAGCCATGTCCACCTTCTCAAATAGCTAGCCCACTCCAGCACCTCATTCACTGAGAAGACTCCAAGGTGATACACCCACACCCCTGGACTCTCCCTGACTTTAAGGGCAGAACTGGCCATGGGAGAGGCAGTGTGGGCAGTGATTCAGCACAATCAGATCATGACTTAGTCCCTGATGCAAGGTGCATATGAGGACCTGCTTTCACGGTGTAGAAAGATGCTTGTGTATTGTTCAGTTATAAAAGGCTGCAGATCAACAAACCAGATGACCCCATCTATGCATGTGTGTGTGGCTGTGTGTCTGTGTGCATATGTAAATGCACAGAGAGGAGTTTAGAAAGGACTTTGCCAAAATATTAAGAGGGGCATTTATGAATTGTAAGTTTAGAGGGTTTCTTCTGTCTGCCTTTGTATTTTGTTTAAATTTCTACAATGAACTTGTATAAAATATAAGTCTTCCAGAATATAGAGACTTTCCAGACCTCTTGAGAGCCTTTGTCATTGATTTCTTTCAGTTGACACTCTCCTTCTTGGTGAGACCGCGCAGGAGGGTGGACTAGGCCCTCTCCCCTGCAGCCTCCCTGTGGCTGCAGGAAGCCCCTTCCCGTCGCACACACGCAGAGCCCTTGCATCCCAGATACCGCCTCCACTGACTACAGGCAGACCAGCTCCCACGTCGGGCACTCAGGCAGTTACACATCAGTGTTGTGCACAGGGCATCTCCTGGAAGCTCTACCAGGCTGGCGATCAGGCAGCACCTCCTGTGCGTGGCCGCCACGGGCCAGCTCTCTGTGACTTCCTTCCTTCACTGCTGTCCTTCCCATGCTATTCTTACTTGGGTGGGTACCAGCATGGAAGCTGGCACATTGCTGTTCTGACACAGCAAAGAGGATGGGAACACAGACTGAAGGGTCCGCAATCAGGGCCCACTGCCACACCCCGGTCCCTGCTTGGGCACTTTGTGGCACGGCTGCAAGGTGACCACGTGACCGTGTTTCAGTGGAACGGGGGACGTGGGCAAGAGAGGAAACAATAGCATGCTGAGAGTTTGGGCTTCGACAGGTGATTTAATAAGAGGCTCGTTTCTTTCCCCACAGAACAGAGGTGTCACCTACTGTAAGTGGTTTTGCGAGGAGCACACGGGGTGACACATGAACTTACCTGGGTGTCTGAGGTACCACAGAAGCAGTACACCCCAAACAGAATCCACTGTCTTTCTGCTCCGTCCATCTGTGCTTCCTTGCACCACGACCATCCATCTCCTTCCCCAAAGCTCTGAAGTCATTGAAACTTCGTGTTCTGCTTCACCTCCCACAACTGATCTGTCACCAAGCCCAGTCCCTTCCGGCTTCTGTTCATGTCATCCCATCTTCCTCATCTTCATTCCCTCTTCCCTCATATCCTTGCCCCTTTCCTGGATGGTCCGAATCAGCTCCGCATATGGGGATTTCTCCATATGCCTTTCAAGCCATTCTCCACCGTCTATAGATGATTTAAACAATTTAATCAGGTTCTTTCCTGCACACAATCATGCAAGGCCCTTTATGAGTTGTATTTATTGTCCCTTTATATCGTCATCTCTTTCTGCCTCTATTTGTTCAGAATCTATTTCTCAGCCTTTCCCAGACACTGGAGACTCCTGAAATCTGGGATCTATGTGCATGTCATGCATGGAAGCTGCTGCTGTGCCCCTCCCTCCTTTGATGCCTCCTACTCTTCATCCAGGGACATTTGAGAGGTCAACCCTTCTGAGCCCTTTTTTCTGCTCCTAGGCAGTCCGTGCTACCTCCTCTTTGTTTCCATAATATTCAAACAGGACTACATAACAGCACTCACCCATCCATCATTCATCATCTGTCCACCTATCTATCCACTGAGCCATCCATTCATTTATCCATCCATCCACTGTCCATCCATCCACCCATTCCTCCATGCATCCATCATTCATCTGTCCATCCATTCATCCATCCATGCACCTATCATCCATCTGTCCACCCATCCACTGATCCATCCATTCATGCATCCACACATTGTCCATGCATGCATCCATCTGTCTATCCATTCATCCATCACCCATTTGTCCATCCACCCACTGATCCATCCATCTACCCATGAAGTCATTCATGCAGGAGTAAGAAGACAATTTAACTTAAAAAAGCTAGCCAATCATATCAAAACTACTTTTTAAAACCTATTAGCTTCTCCAAAGTGGGTCTTCACATTTCTGAACTCTTCATGACAGAATATGAGGCAGGTCTCAGGGCCAATCACAAGGGAGTTAAGAGGGAAGTGACTTGCAATAGGAGCTGTCTGGGGAACGAGCAGAGGCACATCTTGCTGCAGAAGAGGACTTGCTGCTCTCTCTGCCCTCCCCTCACTTCCTTGGGACCTTCCAGCAAAGCAGGTCAGTCCTACCAGCATGTGACTTCCTGCTCAGCTTCCCCTCCTCCTGTTGCTGCTTCTATCTTCAAGTGAGGGGGTCAGAGGCTCCTCCCCTGCATGACCTTCTAAGGGCAGAGGGCCCACCTGGGCACTGCCCAGCAAGGCCCTTCCTGGAACTGAGGACCCTGTGTCAGAGATATTGGGGGAGCAGGCAGAAAGAAGAGGAGTGGCTCCAGGACGTGAGAGAGAGTGACAGATTAGAGAGTGAAGAGAATGGAGGAGGAAAGAGAAGAGTCTGGGGTATACAGACTGGGACATTGTGAATGTAAATATTGGAAGGAATCTGAAAGGCTTTTCATTACAACCATTGTCTTATGAAAGAAGTGAAGAGGCCAGGAGAAACCACCTTCCTGGAGACCACATGTCTAACTAGAGGATCAGGACTGTCACCTGCAGGTCCATACCTCACACACCACTCAGACGCCGATGGCAATGCCGATGGCACTCAGCTCTGGAGTGCAGAGCATTTCATACTCAGCAGTCAAATTTAGGGCTAAGCAAAAAGGGCTGGACAGGGCAGGGCCTGTCTTCCCAGGGGTCTTCCACTGGGCCTCCAGGGCCAATTGCCCTCAGTAGGAGCCCAGCTTGAGAACTGGAACAGGATCACAGCAGGAAGGGGTGTGAGCACCGCTCACATCCAGCTCCAGCCACAGCACTCATTCTAACACCATTATGCCCAACATTCTGTGGGCCCCAACCTGGAGAGTAAGACTGACTGGGTGGCTGGGAGGCAAGGGAGATTATCCGAGTCAGTTTATATCGCTGTTTCTCCTGTTTACAGGGAACAGTTTTACAACAAAGGTCAAATCCATGGATGATGAATGGGACACCGGGGGAGCCGGGGACGCTTCCCCTTAAGTTTCCTGCAGAAGACTCTTGGCCTCAGGATGTAACAGCTCTCATGTTCAGACAGAAAGGGAGGTACAAATTTAGGGGCTGACCCAAAACAGAAAGATCTATGGAAAGTCACCCAGTCCTCCTCCTTGCAGGTCAACAATCTGACCATGGCAGACATGGGACTTTACTGAATCGAGATGACCACAGTGACCTATTTGATGATTTCCAATTAGGATCTGAGGACGTTCGATGAGTAAAGGCTTAGAGGACAGTTCCCTGCTGGTCAGTGTGAACAGAGTTCCTCCATACCTGGGGCGGGAGCTGAATGACCCATGGTAAAGCTTGTCCCTTAGTTTCACTCTTAAGTCCAGAGTCTCAGAGGTAGATATTTTTCTTTCTTCTTCTTATTTGTTGTCCTCAGTTACCAGTAGATTCTTGCCAATGGCCGTGGTTGTGGCTGAAAGACAGTGCACAGTTTGCTCTTTCTTCCATCAGCCCCGCAGGTCCTGAAAATGGAAGTCAGGGACCTGTTCTCCCCTATATTCCATGAGTCCTCTTCTCCTAGATGGCCTAGTAAGGCCCCTTATTGCTGTTGGTATTAACACTATTGTTTTAAGCAGAGCAGCTGCCAAGGCCTCGGGTTAGACTGTATTCCATCGACCCTGAGAACGGGACCTGCAATGCCACCTTCTGGTGTTCTGTGGAGGAAGGAGAGACCATGACATATGGGTGGATACCAGTGGGACCAGTGGCTATTGTGTCCCAGGAAGAATCCGTTCAAGCCAGGGCTTGGTCTCTAGACCTACAGGGTAAGTACCAGTTGAAGGGCCTGGCTCAGTCTAAAGCTGCTTCTGACATTAAAGGAGATGTGGGAATTGAAAAGAGAGGACATGTCATGACAGACCACCGACTGACTGGTCCACTTGAGGGTACAGAAGAGAACTTAAACACAGTCTCTTTAAATAAATATTACAATGCCAGGAAGAAATGGATTCTATTATTGGACTATTATTATATCACATGAATAATAATACCAAGAATAATACAAAAGAAATATGCTGTTAACAAGACTGTTAAGAGATGTGCAGCTTCTACCTTGCTATCTCTGGATCACTTGTTTTGGTGGAAGCTAGCTGCCTACAGAGAAGTCCACATGGTGAGGACTGAGGCTTCCTGCCAGCAGCCAGGTAAGACGCTGTTCTGAAAGCCTTCAGACTGCAGCGCTGGCTGAAATCTTCACTGTGAACTCGTGAGAGACCCCTAAGCTAGAACCAACCACTTCTGTGTGACAAAAAACACTTCTGTGTTTTAAGTTGCTGACTTTTGGAGTAATTTGTTATATAGCAACAAAAAACTACAGACTAGAAAGGACTGATGTCTGTAAATCTTAATGTTATTATAAAATTGCTTTGTAGACCACTTGTATATATTTATGCTCTAATTACTAAAGAGCACATGACTTACCATATCCATAACAGTATAAGGCTCTCTAGAGATTAGAAGAGATTTCAGATAAAAGGGGAGATACTTGTTAGAAATAGCAGGAGAGTGCACAGCTCTCCCTACTCCAGACCCTGTAAGGGCCATGCAGACAAAAATAAGGCATATCTCAGTGGCAACCAGACAAGGTGAAGAGTGATGATACTAAGAAGCAGATGGCTCCTCGCCTCTGCACTTGGCACTGCATAAGCACTCCACCTGCCTGGACGTCCAGCCTATAGAAAAGTTTTATGAGAGTTTGAGCCAAAATTTTGTTGACATGCCTGTAAGCAAAATCTCAAGGGATTGAGGAAATGCCCTGGAAAATGGCAGCTTTGCAGCTTCTTTCACATGTGAGACCCAAAGGAGGTGGTGTAAGGAGGGTTAAGGAAAGCCATTGCTGGTAGATTAAGGGGAGGAGGAAGCGAAGTGGAGGAATTTCAAGGACTGGGTGGAAAGCAAACCGAGGACACACAGCGCCCCTGCGCGGGCGGGTAGGGCAGGGGACCCACGGCGCGGAGGCCCCGCAGCCGTGCCCCAGGGACGGAGAAAAGAAAGCGCCTGGCCCCCAAGGGGCGCGGTCCTAGGCACGGCCGGCGGACGCGGCTCACTTACGGAAAACGCTGCCCTTTTCCGAGGAAGCTACGGCCTGGGACGCGCGGTCCCACCGTGACGGGCCTAGTCAGAGACCAGCTCGTCCAGACCCTCCCGCCCTCCTCCCCGGAACCGGACTCGCCCCGGGCGCCGGCTCCCTTCCGGCGCGGGCCCGCTCGGCCTCCGCTTCCGGC